CTTTCAGTTTCCCTTTTTGCTTTGAGTGAAAGCATCTGTAGATCTTGTAGGGCAGAAGTTATGGAGAAGCTGGCAGGCAGCAGTGGGACAAAAGGGGCAGGGTGCTGGTCTGGCAAAGGGTAGGAGTCACTGTGTGAGTGTCTAATCCATTTACATGTACTCCAAGACTGTTTAAGCTGCTGCTTGAACAGCAGATTGCTAGCCTGGGTTTGTGGAGGTTCTTCCAGTCTTTCTGATGTTATTTTACAAGAAAAAACTTGTTTGCCACCAGGACTGCCTTCCTTTATATCAGTTTATATCAGTTTATGTGTGTCACTATTTCATTCTTTGCACGTTGAAGTTCGGGAGCCACCAGAGTGGCTTCTTTCTCATCATACAGATTTTACTTTATCTTAATCAAGTTTTATGCAGCATTTCCTACATACCTGTGACACTCACTGTCTAAGGGACACGATGTGCTGGGAGATGTTCCCCTCCTGCCAGCTGATGGACAGGGGTTTTTGATGGACAGATGTGTTTTGTGAGTCTGCACTCCTCGAGATCCATGTGCAGGCCAGGTGAAGGTGCTAGTGGGCCAGAGCAGCAAAGGCCCTGCTGGGAGATGGCTGGACAGTGCAAAACAGTGTGAACCTGTAAGGATGGAGAGTCATGCATGCCTTTATTGGTTGTAATGAGAATTAGGTGACAGAACTCTGCCCCAGGCTGATTTTAGAAATATTTTTACTTTCCACTATGGCGGTGGTGGCAAGCTCCGAGGATGTACATTCTTGCCTATTATAGGAAATTGAAACTTCCTTTCTGTATCTAAAGGGGGCTGTAAGAAGGAAAAGTACAGAATCTTCAGTGGGGTCTGCTATGACAGGACAAGGGAAAATGGTTTCAAACTGAAAAAGGGGAGATCTAGATTGGATAGAAGGAAGAAGTTTTTTATGGTAATGGTGGTGGGGCACTGAAACACGTTGCCCATAGAGGTGGTGGATGCCCCATCCTTGAAATCATTCAAGATCTGACTGGACCGGGCTATGAGTACCTGAGGTACTAAGGTACTCACTGTAGGTGTCCCTGCTCATCGCAGGGGTGTTGGACAGAATACCCTGTAAGAGTCTCTTTTAACTCAAGATGATTCTATGAGTCTAAACTACAGGCATAACTTCTCATCCATTTGCAGAAGTTTATCTGCTTTGGTTTATCCAAAGACAACAAAATACTTCTGAAAGGAGACTAATATAATCTCTGTGCTCCAGCGAGGGAAACTGAGGCACTGAGTGATGAAGTCAGTGATTCAAGGAAGCATGAGGGTCCATTGCATTTTGGGCATTAGGTGCATGTAGTCTTACCAGCATGGACCCCATAGCCTGGTGCAGCAAACCCTGCCATGGAGATAAACTCACCAGAGGCATTCCTGCAGAAATGGAGAGGCAGGTTTCCTTGGGGCTGAGTACAAAAAACACCCTGGCAATCAGTAGTAGGTGGTATTGCACCAACATGTCAGAGAAAAGCTTGTTTGTGCCAAATATATTGGAGAAATTATTTTTGGAATGTTCACTGGTGTGAAGATGTGTCTCTGAAATAGTGAGAGGAGCAGAGGAACTGTAGTGATGTTCTGGGTATGTGCCAGCTGTCTGCATTAGAGAGAAGAGTGATGGAGCAGGAAGGAACATGGATGCATTTACTCCTCCACATTTTTCCTTGAATCTCTTTAAAAAATCCTGCTATAGATGACAGTTTCCCAACAAAGGGTGGGTTGAAGATGCTGGGTGGGAGATGAGGTCTTTGGACTATGTGGAGCACAAGAAAACCAACTAAATCCAAGGGATTTGGGTGATTCCTGAACCCTTTTCTCTTTGTTCAGGGAGGATCAAGGCACTCTCAGGATAGGGGTGAGCAGAAGGGATGTCCAGTTATCTAGCAGTTCTGTCCTAGGCACCAAAAGGGGGAAGGAACAGGGATTAGGAGTTGCAGCCCCCCAGTGTCCTTCCTCCAAACTCCCCCTGAACACACGGTCCCTGGCAGCACGATGCTGCAGCTGCTACCAGAAATGCAGGCAAATCTGATAATGGGATGGGGGTGGGAAAAAACTCAAGAATAAAAAGAGCTCTCTGTAATGTGTGGGTTACTCTCTGAGAGTGGCACTGCTGTTCTCCCAGGCAGCAGCAGGCTGAGAGGCACATTGGGAAGGCAGGTGACCAGGAAGCAGAGAGCTGCCTACTGCAGCAGAGATAGGGATGCTGTTTACAATAAAAGAGACGGGCTGAAGAGAGGCCACTGGGGAGATCTCTATGGAGACACTTCACCTGCTGCAATGGGTGGCTTTGGGGATTGGCATTGGGTCTTTTGAAGAAAAGTGCCTTGCATGGGCATGGCAGGATGCACGCTGACTGCAGCAAGGTGAAGCTTTCCAGGCCTGCTGTTCAGCAAAGAGAAAATGGCTCTGAAGCATTGCTGAGGTTGGGATCCAAGCCATAAAAGCTAAGATATTCAAAAGATGCAGGTCAGCTGTTTGCTCTCAGAAGGGGCCCAGTATTCAGGTATAGGGGAAAGCAGGGAGAGGAGGCTGTATTTCCCTGGGCTGACAACATAGAAGCTTTCCTCCTCCTTTCCAGGCTGCTGTTCTCCCCCAGGTAAAGTGCTAGATACATGATTTCAGAAGAAGATGTGACATGGAACAACAGATCCTACAGGGCCAAGTCTGGGCTGTGCTGCATGTGCATTTTGGATGGTCCTGCTTGAAGGAGGCTGGGATGGAGGAACTCAAGGCTGTGATTTCCAGAGGTACCTTTGAAGTAGAGCAGGAGGGAGAAGGGAAGTGAAAGCATAGGGGCAGATTTTTCATCCTCTTGTCCTAGAGCTGGGGTGTCAATGATGGGTATGATGAAGTGATGGTATGTGTTGATTGTGCTCATGTGCCAAGTAATGAATGCATCACACAGACATGGAAATCACCGAATCCACCTAGCATAAACAAAGGAAATAGAGAAGTGATTTACTGTAAAATTAATGAAAATGCAATCTATCTAAAAAGGGAAATGCTCAGACCACACTTTGGGGAGAGTCAGTAAGACAGAAATGGGAGTGGGCCAGAGAAAAAGGTTTCTCTGCAGCCTTGGGAGTAGGTAGTAGACTGATTCATCCAGTGCCACCCTGCCCTGTGGTCTCTTTTCCCAGGGAATGGCCAACAAGCCCAGGAGAACAGCCCTGGGGAAAGCTGGCTGTTCTTCACGCCTGTGTGTGCACAGCCATGGAACTGCTGGTTTGGGAGCACTATTGTCACCTGGGGATACATGAGATCACGGGGCTGCTGGCTTTGTTGTGAAACTGTCTGAGCAGCAGAGCAGACCAGACAGTGCCTCCCTCTCCTCCTATATCCATCAATTTCTTTCTTTTGAGTGAGGCAAAATTTCTCCAGATGAGTTCTAGCAGAAATCAAAAGGAGAGCGAAGCCTTGAGAGAGAAAATAATTAATCACAATTATCATGGTTTTCCATTAACTTGGCTGAATAGTATATAAGTATAGACTGGGTTATTTGCAAGATTGAAAAGAGGATGTGCTGAAGTGGGCAACGGAGTTCAACTATTTCTCCTAACATATGATACACAATTTTTCAGAAGGAGAAAAGTGCTGCTGTCATTTAAATCAAGTCTGGTTGATATTCAAGTCTGGTGTCCAAAGGAGAATTACTGTGTTGAGGCTAAGCTCATTTGTCTTGAGATATTTTCTGTGTCTAATTGGATAGTTTCTTGGCAGTAGGAGATAAATGAAAGAGTGTGCATTTGTTTAAATGAGCATAAGGCAGATAAGGATCAAGAGGAACAGTGGTGGCACTCATATCAGTCATATAGGTCCCTTTTGTGCTTTTAACAGGAGACTGTCACTTCATCATCCTTCTCTTTGCATTTCTCTGACTCTCGCCATCTGAATTCCAACCCTTACCATTGCCTTTTAGCCCTCCTGTCTCATAGAAACTAAGTGGTCAGGATAAAAAACAAACACATAGGCACACACAGGAGAAATCACCAAAACCCCAGATCCTTTCCTTGCATTGGTAATGCCTGAAGCTAGAGGATGATCAGAGCTTATCCTTCCTGCTGTTCTCTAGTCTGAAGAAAATTGCTTCTCCAGGCCCCCCATGACACAGCAACTGTCCACATAGCATTCACAAGGGAATTTCCTTCCAGTCCCAGCTGTGGAGGCTGTCACACATGGGACATCAGCACCAGTGGAGAGATGATCAGAGCAGAAGCAGCAGTGGGAGGTGTCCTTGAGATTAGAACGGCATTTGGAGAGCATTAGATTTGATATGTTATAGTCATGTTGTATAGCTCAGATGTCCTGTGATTTTCAAGTGTTTGAAATCTCCAACAGATCTTCATTCTTACCACAAGTACTGTCCTCTAGGCTCTTTCCCTTTGGCCTATTGTGAAGAAAAGCTCCATGGGGGGACAGAGAGGCATGAAAAAATGGCTAGATTTGAATGGCTAGACTATTTCATGAGCAAAGCCAAGCAAGAGCAATAGGCCATGCTGATTCACAGCAAAGGCATGAGCCAGGAGATCTACTCACCAATAACCTGAATTACTGATCTGCACTTTCCCTGAAGAGTCACTTTTCTGAGCTCTGGAATTGCATAAAACCTTCAAAAGTGACAAAATTATGTAAACTAGATGATTGATAGACCAAAGGATATTTAAGTTATTTTCAACATTATGTTTCTTTTGTGAAGTGATGCCAGCTACTAACATAGCGCAACTTCTGAAAATGCTGGATAAATGCCTGCTCTTACTGGTTTTCCATGCAGCTGGAAAAACTTCATTGAGTGGAAAAGTCCCTGGGCAGGCAGCTTATATCAAAATAGATAAGCTTTAGACACCCTATGAACACAGTCTGACTAGATCTTGAAGGTCTTTTCCAACATTAATGATTCTATGGTTCTATGAACATACACATCTTTGGAGATTTTTCCAAATCCAAGATATAACTGGAAGAAGTGCTTTGTGGGGGACCCAGCAGTGCTCGCTAAGAGGTCCTCAGCAAAGGTTGGGGAAGAACTGGGCTGATCTTTCTGAAAACATTCCCATAAGTTCCTTGGCATTGTGCTGGCAGAACATGAGAGCTCATTCCTTCTCTTGAAGGACATCTTTGGTGCTTTGAAGGCAATTTGCTCCCCATCCAAAAGATCTTGCTGCTCTGTGCAGTCATGCTGAGGTCCTCTGGAATCACCCACACCAGGACTTTGGTCTTATAGCTGTATAGGGAAGGTGGCAACATGGATGTGAGCTTGCTGCTTGCATCACAGAAAGGCAAGCAGGTCTTGGGATCACTGTGCCTCCTCCAAGGACAGCCTGGCCTGAAGGATGGATGTGTGCTGTGGGAACAGAGATGGCAGGATCTGCTGTGACTGCAGTTGTAGAGATATGACCGTGGATCCCCATGCATGTCCTGCCCTGCAAGATGCTGAGTTGCTCAGCCTACTCAACCTGTAGGGAACTGCTTCCAGCAGATAAGATGATTCATGAAAGCACTATTTTTTATTTTATTCTTTGTTTTCAATACCCACAATACCAGATATAGTTTTGTCAAAGCATTTTGGTAGCTCCATAACCCAGAGAGCCTTGAAGAAAAATCTGCTTTGCTAGTTCAAAACAAAACCATTGATTCTGAGGCACAAGGGAATACATGGAGAGGCTATATTTAGCAGTCCTAATGTAGTGTAGTTGTTTTGTTCATTTAAAAGTAATTTGGCATTAAATATCATTTCTGCACATAGCATGGAAAAATGGATGCCAGGATTCTTTTTCAGTACAGAAAACCTTAGATTAATTGACCAAAAATTGCTGCTTGCACATAATCTTTTATTTCCAGACCATCATATTTTCTAAAAACATACACAGGACCCTGCGTTGAATTGTAATGGCTCCAGACTAGCTCTTGTAATGAAGCTGAGATGGTCTGTTGGCCAAATCAACTATTTAATCAGCCTGTATTTATATTACAAGAAACTACACTGTAGTGTGATAAATTCACCATCTGGTCACTTACTGTTCCACACATCTGTATTTTATTATCAGTTTAGACTGTAATGGTGGGATTCATCCCTTCTTTGTTTAGCAAATAGGTGTTTAGTCTAAGTCATGCTTCCCGGTAATCCATAGAGGCATCTTCAACAAGCAGTTTAACCTCTCCTGCCCCTGCTAACACCATTTATCTTGGGATGGGATGAATTGTTCTTTAGAAATACTTCTTTCTCTCTCCATTGACTTTAGAGAATACAAGGATGATTGGCCTAGACCAGGCAGCATGGGAATAAATGGGCTTGGGTTGTATCAACATCTTCTCTGGCACTGAGTGCGGTGAATGTGAATAGGTCTGTTAATATCTGCAGAGAAAGATGCTTTATGTGGACCTAGTTGGGCTCACACTGCTAAAACTGAAAGCATACAGCAAGCAACCTAGAGGCTCATTTTAGATACTTGATAAGAGCTTCACTCTCAAACTCAGTGGGAAGAGCCTCACTGATTTCTGCCCAGGGCTTTCCCAGATTCCAGGGATGCTGGGTGCTCCCCATTCAGCTGCTGGAGGAGGGGGGTTGCCTATATGAGTGTTTAGGACCAAGGAGTCTAAATTTGGCCCCATTATGGAATCATTTCCTGGCAGTTTTCCTTTTGTTGTGTCTCTCAATGCAGAATATCTCCTCAATTTTCTATATTTACCTTCCTTCCCTCCTTTTGTGGAGTGCATTGTATAAGACCTTGGCTATGACAATGTCCTTTTCCCCCCCCCCACCTCCAGGAAATGCTCTGAGCATCATATCGTAGTCATTGCTGTTTGGTGCAATGAAGTCATTTTCAGAGAAAAGTTTTGCAATGCATGCAGGGCTGGCTTCACCTGGGGATGGGCAGCCCTGTGTGGGAACTACAACCAGACAGGGCACATGGGGAAAAGCCTCTGCGACCCATGCAGAGCTGAGGTCTCCTAAGCAGGAGGAGTAAGTGGAGTTCCTCAGAAGCAGCTGGAGTCAATGCTTTCCCCAGGAGCATGTTGTATGGGAAATAAGATTACCTGGAAAGCACACAGCTCTGAGTACTTACAGCCTGCATTCTTCTGGCTGTCACAGTACCACCTAGTAGGAAACAATTGCCTCAGTAAAATATAACAATAGCTTTTCATTAGAAGAATCTGAATTCTTACTTTCCATTGCCATCGGCAAGCTAACCAACAAAATCATTTGGCAATGTCCTTGTTCTTTAGAACCAGCAAAGGCAAGAATGAACACTGGGTCCATGAGCTTGACTACCAGGGATCTTATCCTTGAACATCAGAACCATTACCTTAAGGCAAAACTAATAGAGGAAATATATGGCATGTAAGCTTGGCCACAATGAGAATTTTACTGAGCTCATTTGGCTCACCATAAAGAGTTCTCATCCTCCAAGGAAGACCTGTGGTAAAGCCTCACCTGGCCATGACTGCACCTTCCCTCTATGCATCGGCCTTGCCCATGCTGGCTGCTGGCTCTGGCAGTGCCAGGCAGCTCTCAGAGCATTTCAGCTAGGACAGTAAATAACACAGGCCATTGGACATGCAGAGTTCTCTGTGGTGGTGGTGGTGACTCTCACACAGCCCCCAGTTTCCATTAAAGGAAATTTACAGTTTCATCAAAACGATGTTTGTCCTGCAGAGCACCATGCAAGATTAAGAGTGATCTGCTACCTAGGCTGAATGGAGATCCTGAACAAAAAAACAACACACACAAACAAACAAAAAAAACCACAACAACAAAAAACCCCTTTCCCTAACAGTGAAGATAGATACATGGATAGATTGAACTGCAGTTACACTGAACCTTGTTTACATCCAGTGATTCATTTCATGAGACTCATGACAGACTAGTAAAATATCTTCTGCCACTAAAGCAGACAGTAGCTGCTCTTCCCTATTTCAACAGTCTAAAATGTTACATCTGCAGCTGTGTATACACTTCAAAATTTGGCCTGTCATTCTTTATCTGAGCACATCTGCTCAAATGTGCTGACCTGGGTTCCCACTAGGGAGGTACATCCCACAACTAGTGTGGGATGGAGCTGCCCACAGATAGGGCTTCCACTGGCAGAACCAGTTGCATCCAGGCTATAGGAGGAATCAATCTATTCCAATGAAGCTAAACAACAAAGAGAGCTTCTGATGCAGCTGAAAACAAGAACTAGCCTACTTAGTTTGGAGAAGCCCAGAGGCTGAGGTACAGGCTTGTCACTCAGTTTTCCATCTGGATCAGCAAACTGAGCTGAAATGTAGCTTCTCTATGAGAAACTGTGCCTTCCTCTGCAACCCCAACAACAGCAAACTGAACAATGCTTTGCATTTGTTGCCAAATCCTATTGTAGAACAGTTTATTCTTGTCTCTGTTAATTCACTGGCCTTCTCTGTACTTCTGCAGAGCAAGTTCCATCTACTAGCAGTGGCACCAGTGCCATCACAGGCTGCCCATGTTTTTAATACTGTGTCATCTCACTTCTTACAAGCAAGACTTGGTGTGATGATGCAATAAAGATACAGATGCTGGTGCAGGGAGCCTGTGCTCCCTCCTGGGCAGCCTTCCCTGTGCTGGTGTCCAGCATTCCAGGAAAGCCAAGAACCAGTGCTCCTCAGAGCACATCCAGGTGGCTGGTCAATGCTGCACACTGAAGAAAAAACAAACAAACAAACAACAACAACAAAAAAAAACAAACAGCTTGCCTACGCCTTATGGATTTCTTAGCAAACCCAGTTTAAACTCAAAATGTTTCTGTCAAGAGCAAACTCAAAAAGCTAGTAGCTCTATAGATAGGCCAGAGAAGTTTGTAGCTTTCTCTCATAGAAAAGTTACCGATCATGGACAGAAGCACTACATTGATTGCAGATTATTCACATTGCAACAAAATTGAAGTTTAGGTATTTGTGGGATGAAATAAGTTCCCACGCAGCCTGATCAGTACCTCAGCCAAGTCCTGGGCCAGTTCCTCTAAACAACCCTCTGAAATTCCCAAAGCCATGCTGGCTGAAACTAGCATTTCACCATGTGACCTCCGTGAAGGCACAGGGCCACTCTGATGCAAGTTCCGCGAAACCTCAAACCATTTCTAAACTTCCATATTGATATATTTCCTTGTTCCAGTGGTGCATAAAAGAAACAAAGTCCAGAAAGCCCTGATGCTGTCTTGTGAGACTTAAATCTATCATGTTTTTGTTAGCTCAGCACCTGTACTGCACACAGGTTCTGTTGAGCATCAAGAAGAGATGCCCACTATTTGCTGGCTGATGCTTTCAAAGCCAGGGAGGGAGTAGTTGAAGACAAATTTCACCATACTAAGTTTGTAGGGATTCCATCACAATGACAGATTTCTCATTTTTTTTTCTCAACTGCAAGTGTGAGCAGTTGTCCCCATTATATCTTGGTCCATTTTGGTTTCCTGGAATAGCACCTCATCAATTTTACATTGCAATAGGCTAACTCTCATCATCCCCGTCCCATGCGTTTGCTGATATTTCATACCTTTCTGCTTGCACAGAGTAGCTCTGATGCTCCTGCGTGCACTCAAAGGAACATTCTTCCTGGACAGGGATTGTTTTAGGATGCAGTTGCCACATAGAACTTCCTCTTCTCTGCTACATAGCAGACAGCCACATCTTTTGAGTCTTGTCTCAGAGTAGAGAGAATAACCTATGCAAACATCAGTATAACTTGTTACTAATCTGGTTCCTAAGAGTTTTTGCCCAGAGTTCAGAAGAGCACAAATCCTGCAGATCTGCTGTGTGCCTGCTCCTGGGTAGGCTCATATACTTGTAATTCAGCCACTACTGTCTTTCAGATATCAGTGCTGGATCTTTAGTATTATCTCTTTCTTCCTTCATTCGTCTGGGTTTTTCTTCACAATCTCAGATCTTATATGGTCTGTCTCCTTTTGCATTCGGATAAACATTTCATTGTTTGTATTCCTCACTTCCCATCCAGGGGTACCTCAGCTGGATAGGTAACACTCCATCCTGGGCTATGCATGTGTGTGAGTGATGCCACAGCCACCTCATGCTGTTCTCTCCCTCTGGGCACCTGCTCATGGCAGCTTGGGCCAGGTGGAAGCAGATGTCACAGGGAAGCCAACATGGTGGACCCTGGCTAGCAGAAGGAAGTGCTGAAGTAGCGCAAAAGACAGATGTTGTTTGCAAACAAGAGCCTCTGGAGGCCAAGCATACAACAAGCACCAGGGGCACTGCATCTGCCTCATTGCGTCCTCTTCTGTCTACCAATAGACCCATGGGACCCAGGGCCTCATTTAGACCTTCCCCTTATCATGTCTCGAGCCAGCAGTTCTGTTGTCTCCTTCATCCCTTCCCTGCTCCACCAGTCCTGAAGAGTTGGTGGGTTGGTCTTTTTAAAAATAAATAAATAAATACAAAAAAAATCTTAACTGTTTTTTTTTGGGAGGGGGTTAATAGCAAAACTTTAAAGGTTTGCAGAAGTTTCTACATATTTAAGTTCCTTCTCTCACCCATAATACATCTCAGTGGATATGTTTGAGTTAAAAATACATAAATACATGACTTTCACCAGCATCCAAAATGCAGCCCACAAAGAGAATTCCTCAGTGTTAGCAGTGCGCAATGCTGTGGTTACAATTAGTGCTGAACGAACGCATGATTTGGGATTATTACTCAAGCACACTTAAATGAGGTCTGAGAAGGGGTGGATCCTGGCTCCAGCCCTCCCAGTCACTCAGGTACATTGCATACACCTGAGATCCCCTGGGTTGGCTCTGCCTTTCCCCCAGGTGCTTAATCACTGGTTCAGGCTGTCACTTAGCATGCTGCACACTCCCATCTAGAAAAGCTGTGCAGTGCTAACTAACCACAGGCTAGGAAGCGTACCTGCCATCCATGTGCTTTGGATGTGTCTTGCTAAGTCTCAACCATGCACCAAAGTGTGCCCTATCCTGAGTGCGGATATTGCAACAAGATGGTTTTTCTCTGTATAAACTGAGCTGGAATTTCTCCTGGATTTTTCCCAGCCTGCTGCTGAGCCCTAATTGCTCCCAGCAGACTTCAGTGCCTTGGAGATACAGCCACGGGCAACTGCTTGGACGTTTGTCCGTGTGTCAGAGAAATCAGAGTGTCTGGTATTCGCTGCTGAGGTTGTCTGTCTGCGGCACTTGCTTGCTCTCGTCACGTGGCATTGCTTCTGTTCCCTGAGCAGAGGTCTTGGTGAGTTTTCTTAGCAGGACTTTCCAGGTTTTTAGGCTTATGAATTTATTTCCTTGAAGGCTTATGCCCACAGCATCAGTACTGGGAATGCTCTCCTTAGCAGAACTCCGTCACAGGACTCTTTCCAAACTCCGCAAGGGCTCTGTGCCAACTAAAACAGACTCAAATCAATCCCAAATCCTACTCTTTCTTTTTGCAGCTCTTTCTAACGAGGAGGGGTGAAATGCATGATGTCTCCCAGGGCTGCTGATTCCTTCCTTCCCTCCTCAAAGGCCAGGAGCACTGAGCACAGGTGCCTGGTGCATGGGGCCGGCGTGCAGCTTTGCCGGCCTGTGACAGACAGGAAGCCTTTTACTCTAATTAGCCACTACAGAAGCTTGGCATTTCTCCTCAGAGCGGCTTCCCCACTGATCAGGAGCACGTATCTCGCTCTTCCTTCTCACCTCGCACGTCCCTGCCACCGTGGCCTCCCGCTGGGCCATGGAGGCAGGGCTGCGCAGCACGTTGCTGTGAGGAAGCGGGTGGGGGACACACAGAGGAGCAAACATGGGGTTCTGGTGTGCGCAGGGCTTTCTTCCAACTTGGCCGTGTTCACCTCCTGAGCACGGGTGGTTTCTGTCCCCTGCTCCCCCGCTTCAGCCAGGCTCACTGCGCCTTTGTCTGATTAATCACTCCAACCCGTTGCAGGGCTTCCTGGGGGCTCTTTGGCTGCCGGGTTATGAAGACCCATGAGTTCATTGTTTAAATTAAGTTCTTCTATATGGAAACACCACTGGTTTCCCATATGGTCTTGGCAAACCCACCATCCGCTCTCCACCTAAATTAAATTTCACTAATTGAATTAGTTACCATTTTATCAGCTGCCGCTTTGCAGTAGTTTGTGAACCCCCTGGGGCCCGGGCCACGCGCAGTCAAGAGCTTCCCCACCTTGCTCTCTCATTTATCATCGTGACAACACGCAGCGCTGGGAGAAGCGGGGGGGTGGAGAATGCCCTGCCCTCCCCAAGCATCCCAGCCATCTCTGAGCATCCTAATGATTGACCTCTGCTAGCAAAGCAGCCCTGCGCTGACCTCAGGCTGCTGAAAGGAAGCATTCTCCCCTTTGTACAAATCCCCCTGCGACCATGGTCCTGAATGCAGGACTGTCAGAAGGGAAGCCTCACACGCGGGCAGCAGCACCCTGGGACCATGCAGCTTCCATATGCCAGGGGACTAATAGCGACAGAGCCAGGCTCGGGGATCACACCACCCTGGTGAGAGAGGGAAAGGGACTACATGGAAAGGGACGGCCTGAAATTGGTCTGCCAGCATCTGGCAGTGGAGCATGAAGCGTGTCACCTGTTCCAGCCCCTTCACAGGCACTGGCAGCTTTGCTATTGTTATACCCCATCCCCCAGCCTGGCAGGATTTTGCAGCACCACAGTGGATGGTGGGCTCCCAGCACTGCCACTAGTGCTTCTGGTGGGGTGCAGCCAGGTAAGAGTCTCTAATAGCCTAACTTAGCTGCTTCCAGGATAACCTGTCAAATGGTGACCTTATTCTCCCCTGTTGGTTTGCGATGCAGAAGACATGCCCACAAAGAGAAAGAAGCCAAATTGGAGGAGGAAGCTGCTATGCCAGCCTTCAAAAGGGACAGCATCATCCTGCCCACAGCCACCCACCTTCTTGCCTTTCCAGGGAGTATGCTTGAGAATGAAAACAAAAACCTTAAAAGTGGGGAAAAAAAAGTTAAAAAGTTAAAAAGTTAAAAAGTGAACAACGCTGACTGCGCATTTCACTGAAGCCTGGCTTACACCTAGCATATCATATGTCCTTGATAAAATGCCATCTCCTTTCAGAAAACTCTCGAGGGTGTTGGAATATCTAGAAAAGAACAGTCTCCGCAGTACTGTCCAGACTTAATGCTCAATCAGTGGCTGATGCTTTACTTTTAGTAGTAGTGATCAGTGTATGCCTCATGACTAATTTTAATATTTCTTCAAGGATGCATACACAGTAACAAATGAGTCAGAAAGGTTTTAGAACGGATTTCTTGGGTAGGAAATAGGATTTCTCTGAACCGATTACGGGTTTTACACTTGAGAATAGTTTTGTAGACTTTTACCCAACTTTATGCTAAGCCTCTCCTTTTTTCTCTGTAAGCAGCCTTTAACAAAGATGTGGTGTTGATTTTCACAGCAGCTCATGACTATATTAATGAGGTTAATGAGATGATAAGCAAGAGCTGTGACAGCATGTAAAAAGTCTAGCACTCATCAAGATACTGCCAAACTAGAATTGCTGAAGTCTCAGCATTGCTTAGAGATATGGATCTCCAAAATATTGGGGGTTAATGTGGAAGAGTCCCAACTAGTGCAGGGTTCAGAGAAGCAGCTGCATCACCAGTCTGGACAGGGGATGAAAGGAAGGAGCAGGGAGGGGAGAACCCTTGGGGAGGGGAGGTCCTGTTGTGGGGTGCTGTGTGGGAGTGGCAAGGACCTGGGTCATACAGGGGACAAGGTGTGGGATGTGTACTCTGGATGCTGCAGGGGCATTTAACTAGGCTGCCTTGCAAGACACTGTAATGAGCCAGAGATGGAGATGGTTTGCAGATCCCTCACCTGCACCACCTTTAAGCACACAGCATTCAACAGGCTAAAGTGATACTGGCAATAGGCACACTCTCCGGATACCTCAGATGCATTTTGCTAGGCCTTTGCTGTAATCCCGCTCTGTCCCTGTCCATGCAGAGCTGATGTTGAGCAATCCTCCAGTGTTTACTTTGCTTTTCAAAGACAATGGAAATTTACTCCAAAGCTTTACCTCATCGCTGCTGGAATGCTTGTGGGCAGCAGCATTTCCAGCACCATTCTGCTTCTTCCTCTTTCTGACCCCTCCTGTACTAGAGGCAGCTGGCTTTGCAGCAGTGTTACTTTTTCCCCATTTCACTTGAACTTCTTCCCTCCAGGAAATCCAATTCACATCTTCTGAATTTGCATGAAGCAGAACACTGGTCATAGAAACCTCCAATCTTCCATGCTTAACAAAACTCTCCTTTTCCACGGAGGAATCATGTGTCTTCCTGCTTGTCAGATATGGATGTTGACACCAGGAGGTTCATCCTTCTCCTGGCCTGGCTGTTGAGGATAAATACAAGCTTGCATCATCTGCAAGAGGAAGATGATTCTTTAGTATGAATTTCTTTAAGACCACACAGGCAATGCAATGTCCTGGCACTCTTTATAGTAGGCACAACAGACCACTGCACAACAATTCTGAACAGAGTTGTATGGTTTCCTTTAGGAAAGAAGTGCTTCTGTGCTGTCTAGAGAAAGCACTGTATCTTTTTCTACTAGTATCACCCATGGTTCACTTTTTGGCTCATCTTTCTCTAAGGCTATTAGAAGGGAGGCTCTGAAACTAATTTGTATTTTCCTGTGGCTGCCAAACAATTTGGGTTTAAGCATGCTGTTTTTCCAACCTATGGCTGAAGTGCATGAGTTTTAAGGTCATCTAATTGATCATGATAATTTTACATTTTGCAACAGCATGATGAATCTGAGGCTAACACTTGAGAACGGTGCATTGGGGGAGCACAGGGAGGGTGCACTCCTCTGAGCTACAGTGATGGAAATCACAATGGAGGACTGGATCCAGCTCTTCTAGCTGTGCCTGGAGATGTTGTAGGAGAGTGGCAAATTATAGATGGGTCAGACATAAGCTAGAAGAGTAAAAAATCTGCAATATGAAATATAGGCTTTTGAGTTCAACAAGTGCTGTACTCCATGAAGATGGTTATGAAGCGATTGTAGCTTTGCTGGTAAAAATCTAGATCAAAAGGAAGTAGCTGATACCAATGATTCTTTTCACTTAGTCAACAGGATTCATATACTTGGCTGGCTGAAGGTTTTAGAATAGAAAATTGGAAAAAATGTTCAATTATTAAGAATAAGCATAGCAACCCACTTCATTTGAGCAATCTGGGGAACTACAGCGTTATTCATAGATTACATTCCTTTCAGCAACAGGAGAAAAAATCATCAATCTTTTTTTTAAGAACAGTGCTATAGTAATTCCTATGTCCCTTTCAAGCAAAAGCAGATTATTTGTGCATGTTTTGAAAATTGATTCTGTGCCTGGTGACTGCAACTACAGAAGATGAGAC